CCAAACCTAAATACAAACTGTTCCAGCTATCAAAGTGTTTGTCTGGTGAAGCACTGAAGGTCATAGAGAATCTGGGACATTCAGCTTTAGCCTACGAAGCTGCTAAAACTCGACTCGACAGGARGTATGGTGGTACAAGGCGACAAATTGCATTGTACTTAAAAGAACTTGAGAACTTCAAACCAATCCGCATGTRGAACGCAAAAGATAAGTTTGCGGATCTGTTAGACATAGCAKGAATSAGRAAGAGACGAAGAGCTTGACAATATAGATCCCTCTACTCAAAGTTGCAAAAAAGGTAACCAAGCAAATGCTGGCGCTGTATCATCGATAGATTTACGAAAATTGCGAATCAGAGAGTGTAGAAACATTGCGCAAGTAAATACTTCAGGAAGCAAAATTCCAGACTGTTGTATCTGAGACTCTTCACGACATATCGATGAATGTCGAGCGCACAGAAACTCATGGAAAAGTGAAAGTTTACGTTTAAGTCCATGAGTGTTCCAGACCGATGGGATGCAGCAAAGAAACACAGTCTATGCTATCGATGCCTAACTCACAACTATGTTAGCCGAGCGTGCACTACATCGCGAATCTTTGGTCTAGACGGATGCAAAGACCCAAACAACCGACTCCTACACAACAGCAAGAGCGAAGAAAAACACCAGTGCGAGAGCGAGAGACAAGAGCACACTACTTCGTCAAATGAAAAATCCAAAGAAAACAGCAACATGACAGCTGCTTCCACAGAAGGGAAGCATAAAAGCAAACAAGAAAGATCGTTCGCTACAANTGCAGGCACAGCACCACACCTCCTCCACACTCAAGTGGTCTGCAAAAATATACGCAAATAGTACTCGAGATACTTCAAGAAAAGGGATCAATCAGAACTGACAAGGTACCACTCGATTATACCCCCCTAATAGACCTGAAAAAGAGAGTCTTCCCATAGTCATCCGATAACTCAAGTCTTGAAAATGGAAAGTTGCTTTTAGAATACAATGTGCTCTTCAAATGTCTTCCAATATGCGTATAGTTTGCCATTGCTCTTCAGTAGAGTCAATGCGTTGAGTGGAGTTTAATGCCATCATCAATTAGCTAAGAATTCAGTTAGGCATAACAAATACAACTTCCTTTCTGGCATTTTGTCAGCATAACCAAGTGAATAGTCTTCTTCACGGTTTGCCATCTTGAAAGGTAGCCGTGCCTTTGCATCGAAGCGAAACGACCGTTGAGAGTGCAATGATAGAAACCTTTTTTCATGTCTACAAACAATTTTTCACAGGCATTTATCATTGCACTCTTAATGGTTTTCTCGCTTCGATGTGAAGGCACGGCTACCTTTCAAGATGGCGCAGGTAATCGTGAAGGTGACTATTCTTATTTAGTTGAGAACTAAATCTTATTAGCTGTTGATTAAGAATTGTTTCACGCTTTTGTGGTGTGTCCTCTTTAACACCTCCCTTGTATCCTTACCTGTTTTTATTTGAAAATCATAATTAAGACGTATGATATTATCCTAACTTTTCTGCTTTCCTTTTTTTCGTTGTATCGTTAATGTCATCAAAATCATTACTCTTTTTTAGATGACTGATATAATATACAAGGAACTACATATAATTGATGATGGAGTCCATAAGGTAAAAACATGGCTACCTGGATTGCCAGAAGAAAATATTTAGCGTATACAACTGCGTTAAAACTTATCCTTTAGTATACTCGCTGCAAAATCGTTGCGACATGGCGGCAGCGCGTATGCCGATTACGTACCTGTGTTAATTCGTTACATTTGAAGTACTGAGCAGTCCATGTTCTTCCAATATTGTTATAAAGTTTTTCTGAGAATATTTCTTTTGTTGTGGTCGTACAAAGAATAATTGGCACAAGCTTCTCCTCTAATTCGCAATGCATAAATGAATGTGTAAAGGTATTTTAACATTGATTGTATATTTGATATGGTATCGTTGAAAATGCTTTGGTTTCATTGTTATGCAGTTATCACAAACCAGAAAAAACGTTAATAGAAGACTAAGCGATGTGCTCAATAGCCTTGAGGCAATTGGGATGACATCAAAAGATGGGAGGACAGTCAAATGGTTAGGCTACCCAAACTACTCAGAAGAAGAAGAGAAAAGGAAACTTGAGGTGGATCAACATTTCCAAACTAACGAATCTGTTAGAGTATCCTATGTGATGGCTGAGGACTATCCTCGGTTGGCCGTACTCCACAGCTTTTCACACTGACTTCATTTTAATTGATCACTTAAAGCTAAGAATTAAAATCACAATCTAAAATCACTATTACTCATATAAAGGTATTTGTATATGCATTATCTGCCTAGATATGAGATTCAAGAGAAATTCAGTTGACGACTCGGGAACTCCGCGATGACCTCATTTTTTAAATGAAATTCATCACAGAATTCCCACATCAACCATGATAAAATCGAGGCATAACTTTAGTTCCAGCATCTAAAATAATCATTCAGCTATAATGTTACATACTGTTATTTTACTTTAATGATGAAATTGATGTAAATTGACATACGATAACAGGTATGCTTTCTTTCACAAGCTCGTTCCTCGTATTGTCAGTTGTGGTAAACAGGTGCAGGGGGTGGGTGCTTACCCCCTCCTGAGATCTGTATCCTTCAATACTTTCCTTATTTTGTATCTTCATGGTAATGATATTTGTCGGGGGTGCAACCCCTCCTGAGAACCCTGCAACCCTCCCTGAGGAAAATCCTGGATCCGCCCCTGGGTGAAGCTCATGTGTAAAATTAGCTGATTGAATATGTTGCTAGATTTTTCGTATACCACTATCTAGGACGAGAAACAAAAGCTTGAGGAATGCATCCAAGAAAAGATGAAAAACCTGGAAACCCTGGTTAGCCAGGTATGTCTTGACAAAAAAAGTAGTTGATGTCTTCCCCAATGGCCGTACCTGATATGTTTCAGCTATTCCCATTTCTGAAAAGCAGAATGATCCTATTCTCGTGTAGAGTGATTGTGGGGAACTGGCAGAATTGTGCGATGCACGCTCAGTCGCCGGGTAATAAAATTGTATATTGAGAATTTCATGCATATTAATCACCCAAAACACGTTTCATTCATGAAGGCTCATGGATATTACAAGGAACTGCACAATTCGATGACTCACTGATCACAAAACTGATCGCAACTATTCAGTATTTCATCAAATACAAGTGAGGAGAATCGGTTTAGTAAATTGTCTATTCCCGTAGGATGATGCTTATTGTTCTCTGTTTATCTGAATATATGCTTTATTTGCTGTTGTTACTTATTATTTATTTATTTTTGTATTATTTGTTTGTTTATTTTTTTAGAATAAATCGGAGCAGAAGTGTCAACTCAAATTCATTTCAGAAATACTCTTTTTTTCACAACAATACGAACCTCTTTTTATAACGATTTACTCAGCTAGCAATAGACTTTTTC